AGGACAAGGGACAATGGTTTTTAAAAGAAAGAGGGCAGGTTTAGATTAGATGCTAGGAAGAAATCCTTTGCTCAGAGAGTGGTGAATCACTGGAACAGGTTGCTTAAAGAAGTTGTAGACAACCCATCCCTTGAAGTGTTCAAGGCTGGGTTGGATGGGGCCTTAAGCAACCTGATCTAGGGGGTGGCATTCCTGCCCATGGCAAGGGGGTTGGAACTAAATGATCATTAAGGTTTCTTCCAACCCAAACCACTCTATGATTTTATGATTTGCTGAAAAAAAATGGATCTGATTTGATATGTTTTATGTTTTCCAATTCTCAGTTATGAAAATATTAAAGAATAGGTGAGAGAGGAAGATAGACCTTTATTATGCATATGTACATAGGTACCACCCTGTCCAATCTGAAAGCCCGACTAGTTTTCAGGGGTAGCACATCTGAATGTTGGTGTGCATGCATGTGCATGTTTTATAAAGGGTTTGATCTTACCTGAGCATCTGTGGCTCTGGTGACATCCCATTTGTTAACATTTCTGTAGGCTCTTCAGTAAACTCACTGGATAGATGACAGTTCATTAAATTAGTTGACAATGCATATCCAGTCTTCCCACCCTCCTCCCCAAGCCCTAAAATGAAAATAAAGAAATTACAATGGTAAGAAGGGAAAATACTATGCAAATAGCTCTGAGAGCACTGACATATTTAAACTAATGCATTTCCCAAAATCATAGCAATAAATGCGCTGTCAGGGGCATCACAGTTACTCCAGTGACATGACCACTGTGCAAAAGCACCAGTGCAAGCTGTCAGGGCTGATTATTTAAGTACTCCTGAAATATTTTTCTTTCACTGTAACTTCTCAGAGTCATGAGGCTTCAAAAGAGCCCTTTTCCTCTTGCAACCCTTCAGCTAGCTTTTAAATACCTGCATACATCACCTTGCAAAACAAGTGGGTCAGAACAAATTTTCTAGAGACAGCAGTTACTGAGATCAGTTGTTTTGGGAAATGTTCTTTGATGAAATGATTCAAGAAAGTTTACCCAACTTCCTGCATGGCAGTTTTTCCTCAAATATTACAAAGATAGCAGCTAGGCCTACCCCAAAGAACCCTTTTCAAAGGGCTTAATACTTTCAGGCAGTTGACTGTTTATTGAAGTTGCTGCAGATAAAAGAGATAGATGAGTGCAACGGCATCACTATGAAAATTCCTCATGAAATGGCCTTTCCATAATTTTCTTTTATACACAAACTTCCTCATTCAACTGCAAATCTTACAGCAGTCTATTAAGTTTGACCATCAACTCCATGATCTGATGCATGTGTAGGCAGTACAGTTGAGATATAAAAAATCCTTATAATAGCTCAGAAATGCCCCTCTCAAGCCTCTTCTTGGAATTAGTGGCTTTAGTAATACTGCTTAACACTTATTTGGAACAGGCATGTTATTCTTCTATTAAGCTTTATTCTGGTCGTTCTTTCAATCTGCATTTAAATTCTGTTTTCCTCTTGGTTGGCATTGGCACCCTTAGCCACCTCATAAACAAGATGCATTGCCAACTGGAACATGCAAGCAGAGCTGAAAGCAGCACTGCTAACCTTTGCTTCTTTCTACCCCCTGCAACTTGGAGTTGTATCAACCTCAGTGCTTGGAGCCTGGGAAGTGGGCATCCTGAACTTCTTGGAAGCTCAAAGAGCCAGACTTCAATCTATTAAGGTACTGGGCTGGCTCACTGAGCTAGAATTGTGCACACTTTTTAAAAAATCAGCTCAGTGAGCCAGATTCACATGCTCTTACTTCAGCTGAGTGTATCTTTCACGGTAAAGAGTTGTGCTGCAAACTGTGAATAGACAGTTTTACTCAGCATTTATAAGGCAAACAGATTTTTGACCCAGCATGACTAGCCCAGTAGCATTAATTTCTAAGTGAACATACAGAAGAGCAGAGATTAGGCACTGAAAGTTGCTTGGAGATTTTGGCTATTGGCAAATTTACATTCTTAGAGACTGCATACTCAGCAATAACAAAATAAAATACGGAATTTGGAAATATTTGTCACAGGTGGGACAGGCACTGTAAAGAAAGATGAAGAATGAAGAACTGCAGTGGGTGAGAAGGCTTCCACTCCCCTCCTGTCCCACCCCCAGCCCGTCCTCTGTACATGCAGCAGCAGCCAGAGTCGGCACACAGCAATGGGTACCTGGGGAGCATCTCCTGTGCCTTAGCTTCTCCCTGCTTCTCACTGCACAGACCAAAACCACTTGCCCTGGGCCTTTTTTTTTTTTTTACACAATTTGTGCAGGTTGCTCCTTTTTTAAAGCCAGTCACTGTGTATGGATATCTGCGTAATCAAAACTGTATTTCACTTTTTTTTGCCCTTTTCATTTGTGGGACCAAGGCTTTTTTGCCTTGTCAGTTCTGCACTGGTAAATGTTTCTGTCCTCAGTTGGTAAGGCAGAATGTCTAGCACCACGACACCAACAACTTACAGGTCGCCACTCTGGGGAAAGAAAGTACACATTTAAAAGAATCAGCAGCCTAGGTAGGATATAATGTGACTGAAGACTGTTCTCTGTAACATTGTAGATTAAAAAAATGAAAATATAAAGTGCATTTTAAATGATTAATGTACAAAAGCTGACCTCTTCCAGTGTGCATTAATCAAGGAAAAAATGCACACTTTCTATAGTGGTTAATGTTGCAGGTCCATTATTCAGCTTTGATAATGTGCATAAAAATGCTCAATATGACAATGAATTGGGGTAGCTGAGAATTTAGAATGGTGGCAAGTTTGTTGTAGTATTTGGATTAGCATTCTTAACCTACATCTTGACCGCTTCCTTTCTTCATTTCACAAGGGTTAATAAAATCTTTATTTTTCTTCTTTCATTTTTTAGTTATTTTTTTCTTGTATTTTAGTTATTTTCTTTTTTTTCTTTTTTTTTTTTTTTTAACAAAACAATTAAAAAATACCTGCTCAAACAAATACTACCAGCATTCATTAGTCAGGATGGTTATATGTAAAAGAAATGATGCCAGATAGTAACAAATCCAAGAGAAGTTTATTATGAAAATGGCACCTGCGGGATGAAAAAAAATTAAGTTACATAAAGACAACCATGTATGACATGTATGAGAATCTACAAAAGTATAAAAAGAACCCTGTTGTAAATGAAGTATGTACATTTCTGATTTGCAGCATTATCAATGATCAATGAAAAAAATGTTTCAAATAAGCCAGGCACTCAAGAAGTTAGATTCGGTTAGCTTAACACAAAATAAATGTACCATAGCCGTCACTTTTTAACATTTTAATTTTTTATATTGTAGAGTTGGTAACACTGCTAAGATTTATACGAACAGAATCCCTTTCCCCATTATTCAGCTACTTGGCACCAGTCTCCTCATAAAAGATTTCATATATTTGTACAAGAAATAGTTAAAAACACAGACACAGTCTTCACAGGTAATGAAGTTTTTTTTTCATTTTGTAATTTTAAACACTATGGATTTAGACAGCAGCTGTGATTATCTGTTAGTTTAAATCACCAGAAATCATTTTGACACAACACAGAAACATTTATAAAAAAAACCCAAAACAACAACAGCTGTCTAGCTGTTCTTTGTAGCTGATAGGTGCAGTCCTTTGATTGCTCCATAGCTAGAGCAGAGCTTCCAAAATTAAACTTTGAATTTCCCAATCAGCTTTCTCGCCTTTTTCAGACCTACATAAATCCTTCCCTTGGAACCTTTAAAAGCTCATTAATTAAATTTCTAGCATCCAATTCCTTTTTTGCTATCGCTCCTCTGTGGCTTGGACCTACTTCTCAAATTCAAAGCTACCGCAGAAATTGACTCAACGCAGTGAGTGATCAAAAATTCGAAGGACAGCTGAGTTAATACATTAGCATTGCACACATAAGTGAATACATATGACAATTCTAAGCTCAGTTTCCTTTTTAAACAATGCCAGTTGACCTTTGAAAGAATTTCCTATCTCACTGGTAATTGCTCTACATATTGCTCTGCCAGCTTACCTAGGAGAAAACCAAAGAAATGCACCCTCTGCTTACAGTTCGAGCACAAGGACTCTGGGAATGTTAACAACTGAGGCTATATGGCGTCAATTTGCTTAATATATCTGAGCATTACTCTGTAGTGCATTGTGGGGTACACTGGAAGAGTAAGTCATACCCAGAATTCCTCTGTGGGAAAAATGGCTCCATTAACCTTGAGCTAGTTAAGAGTCTTTTATCTCTGAGAGTGAAGAAGAGAGAACGAGAGAGCGAGAGAAAGAGAGAGGGGAAACGTGTGGAGGAGGAGGGGAGAAAGGAAGGGAGAGAGAGGTTTGAGATTACACAACAGCAAAGCAACAGCAGAAATTAAAAGGTATACAGACAGTGGAAGCAGCATAAGGTGACATTACAGAGGAAGGCCACCACACAAAAACCACTAACCCCCAAGAATCACTGGTTCACTAGGACTGCAGGAATGGGACTTTACCACTCCGGACTAGAGATAAAGCACAGAGAAGACAAAGGACAAAACAACTACATTAGCTTAGTATATACTGCATATAGTAACACACATTGAAACTGCAATGGGACTGACAGCCAAGGACACTTACACATTGTACACATTACAGTTCTCACATCTGTTATTAGATGCCTTAACAAACAGCTGCCAAAGATGGAGTGGAAGAAGAATTTATATTTGACAGTCATTTGGAGTGTTTGACACTACACTGTGATTTCTGGCAACAAAGACAAAATAGGAGATTTCTTTTCTTTTACTTAATGTGCAGTTTTCAGTTGTAGTTATCTATTTCAAGCTTATTAACCCATCCTTTAGTTTTAAAACATATTGGTTTCAACACTAGAAATAAGGAAAAAGAAAACAAAAAAATACCCAAATCAAAGAACAAAAAGAAATTTACAACCTTCCCTCTATAATATTAAATGAAAAACAAAATAAAACATGTTAAATAGTTCTTCTGTTTTTGTTTTTTTTTTTACTCTGAAGTGTTATTTGATGTTGTAAAATTAGCCTCAGTTACACTGAGAAAAAAATAAAGCAAAACAATATGCACCTAAGAAACTGCTCCTCGCGTCAATTAAATTGAGTTTTTTGTTTTTAAGCTCTTTTTGAAAAAGGCTTCCTGACCCATTTAAATTTGATGTGAGGCTATGCTTGTTAGTTTGGAGGTAACGAATTTTAAGTCCTGCAGCAAATGTTAATGAGGGCTTTTGTCTTAACTAACCAAGGAGACTGCAGCACCCCACTATAAACCAGTACGGAACACATTCTTTCCAAAAAACCCAGCCCACAAGCTGCATATTGTATGAAGACATTACAGATTAATAAATGATAGCACCATGGTTTTAGAAATTAAGTTAAAGTTTCTGTAATTAACATTTAGTCCAACTTTTTAACATTCTAGTCACAGGCCAGAAATTAACTTTTTAAGAACCCAAATTATTTTATGTGCAAGTAAGAAAATCTTAACCATAAAAAGAGAATTAAACTCTGCATAAAATTCTAAAATACTATCCCCTATTTTAAAGGAATTAGGAACAAAACCCCCTTTTCATTTGACTTAGTCAAACAGGGCACATTGTTTATGCTTGTCTCTTTTAATCTTGATCATATCAAGATAATTTTGAAGTAAAACCAATGGTTGTCACTTTAAAATCTCTTTACCACAACACTGAGTATTCTATGGCAGAGGCATACACATATTAAAGGCATCTTAATAAAGATGCAAAGGAAAAAACACACATCTTAGAAGAAGACAAAATGGCAGGCAACTGGTACTTCGACTCTCTGAAGGCAAAAATAAAAAAATATCTTTACATTAAAGAATAAGTCAAGTTAAAGAGAAAGGGAATGAAATGGGGACCATCATATTGAGATAATAAGCTGACCTGCTCAAATTCAAAGTGCTAGAATTAAAGGTCTAAATTAAAACATAGTCTATGCCTCAGAGTATAACACTGAACACAGTATGTGGTCATATTTCAATCCTCTTTCCGTTCCAGAGTCTGTGTAGTGTGAATGCCATTGCTGTACACAGGAAATGGAAGAGTGGAAAAAAGTCCTTCGGCAGTTGTGAACACATTCCCTGCAGGCATTTGGGTCAGGCTGGCCCCGCTCACAGCACTTCCAAACGGTCCCGACATGTTGAGTCGGTGAACGTGGTGGTAGAGCATTTCCATCGGTGTTTTAGGATCCAGCCCAAAGCTGGGGCTGTTAACATCAACAAAGTTAACAGCGTGGGTGTTGGGGAGGAGGTTGCCCTGCATGGCTAAAGTAACTTCAGCTGGAGCATACCGAATAGTGCCAGTGGTGTAGACCCTCTGAGCAGCAGTGCTGGTCGCAGCAAGGGTTCCCGTTACCCTGTGAACCAAAGGAAGCACCACATTGCCTGCCTGTAACCTCTGAAGGGCTTCCAGATCCCCAGTGTACAACAAAGAGTTGGACGCTGTGGGACCTCCTGGATGTTTGTCCCTTGGAGATGCTGAAAGTGGGGGTGACAAAGGGTCAGAGGACACTGGAGCCAAGGCCGAGTTGGATGAGGTGCTGAACTGAGTTTTACGGCTGGCAGTATTTTCAGTCCCTGGCGGGGTGAGAACAGAGTCTGGAATGGAGACATGTAAACTACTGCTGGCTTGGGGGGAAGGGAAGTGCTCGGAGCTGGGGGGCTTGGTCATACTGTAGGGTGATTCATTCCTTGAGATTTCCCTGTTGGGTGGGTAATTCCAAATACTGCTATCATTATCAAAATTGATAGGTTCTGAGATTTCTGTTTTAATTTTGAGCACTGAGGCACTGTTTGGTGACGAGAGCAGCTGGGGCTGGTCCACCAAAGCTGAGTCAAGTCCATTTGGACTTGAGGTGCTTGACAGCCTTCTCCGGGTCATGCTGCCTCCCTTTTGCTTTTTTCTCCTCTTCTTCCTCTTCTGATGTTTGCTGGAAGACTGGGCATTTACTTCACCTGCACTGTCTGAGTCCTTGGCACTGTCGGAGGTCAGTGATTCACAGTTCTGCAACCGCAAGTCTGACTCACTCTCAACATAGCGCTCCACCTTGATCTGCATAGAGCCAAGAGTGCCAAAACTGTCCTCAGGGGCCTTTTGATTCTCGAAGTCTGAGTTTTCAAAGCTGTCATCACTGTCCCTGCTGTCCTGGTTGCTGGAGCTGTTCCCATCCTCATTACAGTTCATTTCATTATCTGACTGATTTCCTGACTTTTTCCTGTCGGATTCAGGGTCTTCACTGTTTTCTGACTGGTTTCCTTTCTCATCTGACTTTGAGTTCTCATTGTCCTCTGGAGCAAAATGAAAGTGAAACAAAGCATTAGCAATAGGAACATAATATTATAATCCAAGTCCAGACTTCTACCTACCAATGAGATTGGATTTGCTTTAACCTTTTTTGGCAAAAGGCGTTCTCTTCTGTAGAGCTGCATTTTTTTTTCAGTGTTGTGTTGGGAGAGTTTTGATCTCCATGGCTGTCTCTGACTCAGGACTATGCTATATGGCTGCAACTCGATTGAGGGGGCCTTTTCATCTGCTCACTGGACAAGAATCATGTTGACAGCTGTGAGCCCAACAGCACTGTAGCCATGCCATCCAAAGAGGAGTCAGTGAACAATCCCATTATCACTTTTATGTTCTGGTGATTGTTCTTTCACATCCATGTTCTCCTACAGTAGGCAGGCATCTACGTATAGCACTATTTACTAAAGATTCTAGTACTCTCATCCCATTTTCCTTTGACCATTGCCACTTTTGAAGTGGCATAGAATCTTTGGCTGCAGTGGAATTACTGCTGATTTCCTCCCATGTGAGAGGAGAAGCAACTCCTGTATAAATCTGAATGAATTAATAAACCAGTTAAAATGAATGAATAAACCAGTTTATTGTTAAAAAGGTTATGCTATGTTGCTAGATTCTTCTCATATTCTCCTGAAGGACAACAAATATAAAAAACCCACAGAAAAAATAATCAGCCAGTGAATTAAATTCTTGATTGATCTAAATCATCTAAAGACCATTGAAAATAGCACAGCTACAGTCCTGAGAAGCTGTCACTCTTCTTGCCTGAGTTCATTTAATTATAATTCTAATTCGGGTGAGATAAACACTCTAGCCCACTGGACTCAGAGAGCCAAAGCAGCTTTGAGACTGAATATACTCCATTATCACACTGTGTTTGAAAGGGTCATGAAAGGTTTCAGCAAACCCCTTCCTTTACAGACCAGCCAGAAATCTTTTGTTGCCTAATAAAAGATGTTTTTCACTCATCAGAGCCAAGTACTACTCTTTTCAATATCCTTGTTTTAGGTGGAGAGGGGAAGGACTGGTTTGCCTCTAAAGATATTGGTTACTTCTGGAGCCATGTCAGTACCAAACTATTTCCCAGGAGTGCTGAAGGTGGGTTTGACAGGAAAGCTGCCTGAGCATTCAGGACAATGCATTTCACAAGTTATTTAGTGGGACTTTTGCTTGTGTGAGCAGCAGCAGAGAGACCCTTTCTTTTGAAAAATAAAACCTATAGGAACAAAGTAGCAGCTGTAAACCCCTAACTCTCATCCAGCTTTTTGTTCCAGCTAGGGTTGAATTTATCCTACAATATTTTCTTACTTTTTTTGAAGATGCTTTCTTTTAAGGCCATAGTTTCTTGCTGGAGAAGAGTGGTCTTAGAGTGATGTGGTCTAAAGCTACACAATATTTGATTTGGATTAAATCACAGCTTGAACTGAACTTGTTGGTTTCATCCAAAATACTGTTCAAATTTCAGGTCCTTTAGCATTTCTATTTAATTCCTTTGAAATAAACAAGCCCCTGTGTCTTCTCTCTTCCAAGACTCCCAGACATCTCCTGAGATGTAGATATCTGTGCCCCTTTGGAATTCTGTCTTGCTCTGCATCAGCTTTAGAAGTCATGAATGTATTTGTACTTCTCATGTTCTCAGCTGGAGAAACTTCCAGTGCATATGAGAAATGCAAATTGTTCTCCACATAGGTTTTATTTGGCTGTTCAGGAACAAGACAGCATAAAGGAAGCACTGGGAATGGATGAAGAAATTCCCAATGACAGTGGTCAGCAAGCTTGCACATTGATTTAAACTAAGCTGTCAAAGGAGAGCAAATAAAAGCAAAATATGAAAGAATACAGCCATATTATATAATGTAATGCAACATAATATAATAATATAATATAATAGCCTGATCCTCTTTGCTTTTTCTTGATTTATATCACTGTGATCCATTTTCTCTAGACAGTTTTTGGTTGTTATTATAGACATGAGAGAAAAATCATCCATCCATCCATCTGTCTATCTATCTATCCATCCATCCATCCTACATATAACAGCTGAGTAACATCTTCACTTCTTGGCCTACAGGAAAACACACTTCTTTCAAGGCCAGATGATTTGCACCTGTGCCTAGGTAACCACCGTTAAAACTAACAGGGAAAGTGTGAACCATCTGTGCACTGCACCATCTGTAGAAATAATTTTCACATAGAGCTTGATAAGTACACTCAGCTTTTAAAAAACAGCTGAAGTCCCAGACTTAAAGAGCTTAGAAACAAGTTCTTGAACCCACACATTTTAATTAAATATAACTTAACCCAAGAAAACTCAAATTTTTCAATCTTCACTGCCCCCTAGTGAGACTCTTCAAGAATATATTTATATAGGGAAAAGAATTATAAAGATTGACAGTATAGACCTCTCTGTAGAATGTCTGCCTACTTTGGAAAGAGAAGAACTTGAATTTTATCCAATCGTTGAAATCCCAAGTCCTCTGCACAAGGCACAATGCCTGTTCCTCAGCACAGCTGGGAAATCAAATATTTAGTTTGGTGCTATGTAGGCAAGAATGCATGAAGAAAGTGAAGAGAAATTCTGAAGAAATGGAAAATCTAAGGTCATTAAAAGATTTTGTTAGTGTTTTTCAATTTAATTTTATATGATTTTTTTTTGTTATAATGGAGCAATACTTGAGAAGTAAAAGCAACTTGAAAGCTGACCATGTGGCTTTCACAATATGAACCTCTTGTGGGTGTAAAGGCACACCATGTGTGTTACCTGAGTTGTCCTTTGAATCTGATTCAGAGTCAGAGGTCTCCGAGGATTCTGAGGTTTTCTCTGGGAGATGAGGAAGTTGTGCAATATCCATTGGAGTGTCCTTGTACTCTGGGTTACTGAAGAGGATACAGCAAATATAAATACAATTGGATGATTTGAAGTTTCATGACTTTTTCCTCTTTTCATATCAAAGTTCAGGAACAAAGAACATAAATAGGAAGAATTAAACATAGAAACATATATTTTTGGCTTCAGAGCTTCACAGCAGGAATTTTGTGAAGGTTTATTTTAATACTACAGACAAATACTTTTATTGACCAGGTACTAAGCTCTGTTTGATTCTAGTGAAGTTATAGAGCTATCAAAGCATCCTTGCTGAAGTGGGACATCATGGCTTGTGTGATATCTGGCAGTAAAGCTACACTGTGTAATCATCCAACAACAAAATATCTCGATTTCGATCCCATTACTGTGCCTGGGAGGACAGAGAGGGCGTTTTAACTTTTCCAATCTGTTTCTCTCCCACTGGCAATGTCTATTAGAGTTATCGCTGTAGAAATGTTCTCTATCAACCTTTCCAGAGTCCTTTCAATACCTGTTTTTCTCAATATTCCAGTTTTCCACATTTTAATCAAGCATATCATTATGCTTATTATGAAGGTGCTCAGCTAGGGCTAAAGAAGTGACCACTGCTCCAAAGACTCTGGCCGAAAATTAGATAAAATAGGTTATATATTTTTTAAACACAGCACACATACATCCACATCAGCAAGAAACCAAAAACAACCTCTCTAACTATGTGACAGATGCACATGTGCATGTTAAGATGCATATGTTAGGGATAAAGAACTGTCAACACACCCATTATAATCATATCTTCATCTGCTCATGTGGTGCTCACCTGTGACTTGTTAGCAATGAACATGACTGCAATCTAAAAAAGCTACGCTGCCAGAGAAATGGAAGAAAACCCCTACAACGCCATGCTTTTGCTTGGTTTGTACCTTTTAAAATGTGCTCCTTTCTTAAATGCATGCAAATGCAGGGGAACAGACATAGCTAAATATAAGTGGTACAGAATATTAAAAATAACGAAGTCTTTAATAATTTTTGAATAGGTGAGCATTTCCATGCAGCTCAAAATCAAGTCTGGTAAAACAGAAAATCCACAGTCCTGCACAGGCAGCACTTGGGGTGCCTGACACACTATCACAGTGACAGTATGTTCATGTTCAGCCTCTTAGAGTGAACTGTGAAAACTCAGAGCTCACACAGTTCACATTGAGATGCCATATTACGATTATCATCTTTATGGCTTCGTCCTGACAAAGTGACTTTATTCTGTTGCATCTCAGGGCAGTCCCCAAATTTGCCCCCTCCAAGCAAAAGATGTTTGAGGGCTTTCACACTGTGAATAACAAGTTGCTAGAACAAGAACAGCATTAATCCTCCCTGTCACTATAATTAGTCTATCCTTTTACAGACAGCTGAATCATACTTTCTAATGCATGGAAATGTATACAGACCAATACTCCTGCTAAGAGTAGATCTAATTATGCCTTGATGTGTTATTAAAATATTATTTGGACATTTGGATCTTTTGTGGATTCCAGTAGAAGGAGAAAATTAAATTAAAAATACAAATTCAGTGAGATGTTAAAATTTCTCTAACAGAGTGGTGAACGGAATACACTAGAAAAATCAGGTTCTGGGAGGACACCTGGGGAAGACCACACTGCTTTTCTTTTTTTTTTTTTGTTAGGTATATTCTGCTTGTAGAGAAAATTATTTTGTGGGATGTTTGTCAACTAGGTTCACCTATTGTGTGGAAAGCAGCAAACGGGACAGAGGCAGCTGTTCATAATTCTTATGGATGACTTTTACAGCTAGAGCTAGAAATATGAGAACATTTCTGTACATTTTTGCAGCCCTGTTAAGGACCAGGGCAGTGAAACTGTACTCCCAGTTCAGAATTGTCAGCCTTAAACTGACCTCTTGAAATGCTATATTCTGCCTCACGCTTGCAAAAGAGAGACAAAAAAGTAGCAGCATAAGGATATATGCAGAAAAGCCCGTGCTCAATCATATCAGGCCAAAAAATTTCAATTCCCAGCGAAAACTCCACTGCTGTGCAAGGTTTCCCACAGTACCCCTACAATGCTCTCCTGCCAGGGGTTGCTTCCTTCTCTTCCCCAAAAGGGGAATCAAAAGCATTTCAACATGCAAGTTTAGGCAGGCACAGTCTCTTCAGGGCTTGCTGGACTTGGCATAATAAGTCACATCTAACCCCTAGACATCACTTTGAACTCTCATGGCATCAAAGGGAATGTAACAAACCATGACAAGCAACTTAAAAAGAGAACAGGCCAGAAAATGACAATTGCATTTCATGACAATCTCAGGGTTTCAAATTTCATTTGTTTGTTTGTTCTGTTTTGGAATGAAACAGAAAATCTCCCAATCTTATTGAACATTTTCACAAAACAGAATGTGCTGAAAGGTATTTTCAGATGAGAAAGGTCAGGTTTATAATTCACTGTCTCTCAGTGACTGTTGATTTTCCCTTGAGCTCTGAAACCAGTCCTTTAAAAATAGTTTGGTAAAACAGAATTTCTCAGGGAACAGCCTTTCATTCAATCCACAACTACTATTTCTGTTTAAAGTAGTTCTAATAGCTTAAAATAGTACTTTATAGCACTTCTATTTTTAAATCCTATTTTGCATTTTTCAGTGTGAATATTATCTGATGCTTATAGGAACAATAAAATAGTTTGAGCCTTTTTTGTCCTGAGAAAGCTCCTCTCTCTGGAGTGAGCTGGCAAATACCTTTCAGAGGTAACTTTATTTTTTTGCATACCAGCAGTTTGCTTCCCTGCATTTTTAAAATCCAAATAAAACAGTGCCAAACACTTCACACCAGATTTTATAACACAGCTACTGAAATTTGGTGTGGATAATTTTTATCTTTGAGCTCAGATTGAGTAAATTTCAGGGCATACCATAAAATGGTGGAGGGTTTATTTCAATAAAGGTTTATTTCAAAAAGGCAGCATAATAACCCAAGAATATTCTCACGAGCTGAGACACGACAGATGCCTCAATAACTATTAAAAAATGGCACGGCTTTTGACGTGGACTACATGAAAAGTTCTTCTTAACTTTGTCTAGTAGGCTGCTGTTTTTTTCCTAGACCTCTCACCGACAGAGACAAGCAGCAGAGACAGCAGTTCAAGCGAGAGAAGTGACTGGAGACCTACCTAAGGAGGTAATTGACCCAAATGATATTCTTCTCACTTGCGTTCTTGGCGTTGACAGCTATGGTTGCACTAGATTGTATCCAGATATAACCTCCGTTCTTCTGCATCCAGCGGTAATACTTTGTTACACACTGACCCTTATTCAGCACTGACAGGAAAATACAAACAAAACACAAGCAAGACAGAGTACATGTTAGAATTGTGGTAAAATGACCTTCATTGTACAACGTGCCACAAGTGTAAACAGAAGATTTGGCCTCCCTTGGATTTAATGCCAGTGAGATGACAAACAGGATCTGAAGTTCAGCATAACTAGCTACACGTTTTACAAGTTTTTAAAGTATAATTTCAATCTGCTCCTGGAAACTCTAGTGGAAGGAGAAAAGTAAAAAAAAACCCGTACAAATCTCTATGGTTCTCAGAATACTTATTGCTGTGTGGACATTTCCAATGCACTCAATGTCAAACTGTAAAAAAAGAAAAGGAAAAAAAAGAGGCAAATTTATATGTGATTTATTCATAGCTCCTAGGTAGACCTCTTTGAGATTCTGGATATTTGAAAGGTTTGGGAAGATACTCTACCCCTGCTGCTTTGATCATTTCTCCTCATTGCAGGCGATAGCAACCACTGAACTTATACATCTGTTTCTTTGATCTTGTCAAACAGAATTTACAGCTCTCAGATGAACCAAATCTCCACTGGTCAGTGGGGGAAAAGTCTTTGGAGAATTTACTTTCTACCAGAGCAAAGGAAATCCACCAACAGGCTGAGAAAGAGGCCTAAGGGAGGCACAGAATGGCTTGGTTAGAGCCAAAGAGTGACAGCTCTCTCCCATGCCTGGAATGTGCAGGGAAACAGAGAAAGGAGTAAAAGCAATCAGTAACGTGAAACGGGGCTGTTAAATGCTCACAGCAAGACAGCTTAAAAATACAGATGTTTAAAGTAATACTTCAGCCAAAATATCGCCGAGTTGAAACGGATTTGTTTTGTATCTGATTCTTCCGTGTCAGGAGAAGGGAATGAAAAGCAAATCTTTCAGTGGCAGGGAGCAGAAGGGTTTTATAAAGCCCGTAAACTGCCCAAGATGCGGGCAGGGCTGTGTCTGGAGCCCTTTCCCAGCCGGCATCCCCCAGCATTCCCGCCGAGCTCGGTTCACTAGAGGGCAGTGTGCCTTCACACTCACCGCCTGCTTTTGTCATGTCCTTGTCTCCGTCTGCTAAAATGAAAAACCTCTAACTGCTGTAATAAATTTGGCTAAATTAGCTGCTAAATGGTTATCTCAAGTAATATGTATTTGCATTAATCATCTTGCTCTAAACCAGAACAAGCCAGAGTCCTAAAGACGTAGTAAATTCATATTGTCCATTTAATTACGGCTAATAAGTGCTTCATATACAATAGTTTCATGAAGTACATTTCCTTTTTTTTTTTTTTTTTTTTTTTTTTTTTTTTTTTTTTGAGAGAAAAGAAAAAAAGTCACTTTGGAAAAGGATAAGTATTTAAGGCAGTAAAGTTCCTACCATAAATGTGACAAATGACACTTTGGAGCTTTCAAGTTAACCAAATGTCTATACCCCCAATTATATATATGAATGAATGTATATCTAAATCCTGTACAGCAGATATCTACAGAAGAAGATGTTTACAAAGACAGCCATACAGACAGTGATGTTTCTTTACCTCGGAGGTATCCCCCAACCCCCAGTGCAATTTTTCAACTACTAGAGAAAAACATGCATGTATAATAGTGCCATATAAAGTGAATATGAAGTGCGAGTTATTTTCAGCTGTAATATAAACAAATATTTGTATCTGAGTGTTGTTGTTTTTCAGCAGCCTCTAGTGAACTAAGTTTGTTTCTAGCAGACATCAATATTTCCCTAAATTTTTACTTTTGTATTTCAAGCTCTAAATATTCTACTATGGTAATTCATTGTCTTCAAAACCTCATTATACAGCAGAATAAAGATAAAATATGAACAACTGACTACCCAGCATTTCTGTCAAACCAATGTTGCAAGCCACTTTAGAAAACAATCTCACATAAATTAGCCCAACTTTATCAGTTATGAAGAATAAGGGAAGAAAAGCACTGCTGTAAGTTTTGATTATGGTAGGCATTTACATTTCAGTAAAACAGGGCATTCAAAATACTCTGCTTACAGCTGAGTGTAAAACTGATGTGCACACAAGTGTGGAGTGACACTATCTTTCTTCTGGAAACATGAATACCCACAGCTGTGTGCAGGAACTACTAAAATCTATCTTTGCTCCTACCTACTAAATACACTACTGTCTTCCTTGGAACAGATTTTATCTAGGGAGTTTACCATGCTACACAGATGTCAAAGGACAACTGGCCACATACACATTTGAAAATCAAAATACCAGGGGAGTCACTAGCCAGTGGCTAAGGGCACACTGCAGCTCTGCACAGGGATAGTTATAAGGACCCAGGCTCTCCAGCTCTTTTGGTCATCCTAGTGAAGTCCTTCATCCTTCAGTAACTTTTATATTGGTTTTTGCACCACTGGAAAGTCTGTGCCATGGACTGACTAGAGAATTCATTTCAGAACTATGGAAAAGAGGAAAAGATGCCTGCTTTCTCAAGAATGAGAATTCAGTGCATCAGAGCTATATACAAACCATCTACATTCAGAGTTCAGGCTCTCAAGTACAAAGAATACATCTGAAGAATGTCTGAAATACTGCATTAAAAATGAACTTTTCATGAAGTTCATCTACCTGCAAATTCCCATTCTATTTTTGGCCAGCTCAGATATATTACCAGATACACTGAATTTTCCTTGCTGCATCTGTCTAAAGCACATTTCATATAAGAGATTTGTGGACCACACTCTGAAGGAAGTCCCATGATTCAATATAAAAATTCTCTCTATAAAGAGATTCTTTGGCAGGCAAGCTGCACTGTGCTGCTAAATCTGGTTCTTACCTCCTTTGAGAGTGCACTAGGCACCCCCAGGCCAATTCTGAAAATTCACAGTATACTTTGCAAAGAAATTTCTAAATGTGATGAAAGAAAATAATGAAAAAAAAATGGAAATGTTTTCTAATTTACAGTATTTTTTAACTGCTGGCATTGCCAACCTGAAACTTAGATGAGAATTTTGGGGCAAAAAAAGCAATTAGAAGGAGGCGTCAGGGAGGGAAATATATCCAGTTTATTGATAATCTAGTGTTACTGAGTAAAGCCCAGTTTCATTTTAAAGATCTTCAGTTTGCAGGTATGGAGAGCCCATTAATAAAGTTACTGATTTTGAGAAGAAATGAAAGCAGAGTCCACTCTAAGATGTGATTGTGAAGTTATGCTTTTTAACTAGCAACAGACCATGCATTTCAGTTTAGCACAAACTTCTGAAAATGTAACGCCATGTAGATTACATCCTGAATTTACAGGATGTTTTTTCTTCAGGCAAATCCCTCACTCACTGAGCAGTGCAAATAATTTTATATTTCTATTTGTTTTATATATGGAGTACCCAGTATGGCAGACAAGGTGAGACTTGTGACTACATTGGTGGGATGGCACATGTGACAGGATTATGCAAGATTGCATTATATAATTTTTAAAAATATACACACACACACACACAGACATATATACAAACTCTTTCATCAAAAGGACTAGCTGAGGGTTAATGTTTTAAAATTTGTGACCTTTATGTCAGCTGCACAGATATATTTCCAAAAATGGTGGATGCTAAACCTGATTAAAATTTGCTGAAATGTTACCTAGTTCCTCAATTTGAATTCAGTGGTTGGCATGCAAGAAGTGCACAGTATGTCATGCTAAGAAATAAAAAAACCCCTCACTTATTTCTCAAAGTATGAATATATTGCTGTGTATACAGTTCCCAACAGAGGGATTTCAGTTTTCCTTGGTAGCTTTGTGCACAGCAATATTCTTGTAGTGGTGGAATGAAGGGGGGGGGGGAAGAAGAAACAGTCAGTGTTCTTTGCAGGAACCTATTTCTGTTAGAAAATTAAAATAAATCAGTACAAGTTTGTCTTCAGAAATATGGTTACAAATAGAAAAAGAACATAGTTTCTTCCTGTAAGGCTGTTCTGAGAAATCAAAGCCAAAGCTTCTAAATGGTGAGTTGTGTTTTAAAAGAAGGAAGTAGCTTAATTCAGTTTGAAGAGGAGATGAAGAAATTGTGTATCAAAAGCACTCTTTTAGCAAAGTCTCTTACAAAAGGACATTTTACTCATGTGCATATGCATTTAAAAGCTACACTATATTGCGTATTCAGGTAAGTATTGAGTAAATAGGAAATGATGAGATCATCTTACATATTCACACAGCTTCACAAAGAGGCTCTTTATAATTGGTGAAAATATTGAGGTTACATCTGCTGTGCTATTCACCCTTCTCCTTGAAATACCTTTATCAATGACTGGATGGTATTGATACTGAACTCCTCTCGTGGTAAACTTATAAGAATATTTTTAATTTACTGCACGAGAATGAAATTGCCGTACTTAATACTACAGTCGGATACTTAGCTGCAGCCACAAGTACTCTTTCTACATTCACAAAACTGGCAGACGAAACATGAAAAGGAATACTGACTCTTTAATCTCCACTTCTCCACCTAAGGCCCAAGGCAAGCTGACAGGGTAACTTCGTTCTGGAAACAGAGGGTTTTTTATTTTTTAAATTCTGGATTACTTTTTCTTCTGCTTTTGAAAACTGTGGGCTATAGGGGAATGAACCTGGCATAGACTTAAAACAAGAACAAGTTTCTTTATCTGAAAAGTTACAGTCCTTGATGCTTACAGGAAGGTCATTTTCAAAACCCACAGGAAAAACAGCATCAGAGCCAGAAAGAGTGCATTAAGTACCTTATTTGCTTGTAACAGAGACAGTTTTCCATTTATAACAGCTCCGAGGATCAAGTGAGTCTTTGATGTTGTAAGGACTTATAGATATTGCAATTAGTGAGCTAGATGTTTTAAATATTTGGTATCCACAAATTGAATTTTAGGAATGAAAAATATTTAGCAATGTTAAATGATGCTTGCTACAGAATTGGGAGATAGATGATAGGAGACTGGTAGACATGCAGTGAGGAATCATGTCAGCTACATAATTCTCCACAAACAGTCCTATTTTGGATCTCCTA